ATCATCACTATATTAATAAAAAAACTTTGATATTTAATTAAAAATAAAAATTGTGTGTTTTAGTTTTGCCGATATAAAATAGATTTTATACATAATAAAATATAAATAAAATAAGCTTTAAAAAAAATGTGCCGAATGGGTTTAAGCTAGATTATTCACAGGTTGGAAAGTTCGTATAGGATCTCCTTTTGTCAAAGCTGTAGCTGCTGATACTGCCAGTTGTCGTTCCTTATCTTTCATTTACAAAAATTTGGCTCATTATAATAAATTAATGGTATTATTAACATTATTAATGATTTAGTCTACTGATATTCTTCATTTATTAATATTACTATTTTTTTGTTATATTTATGAGCTTAATAGCTCTTATTCTTTTTTGCTTAATCAATAAAAAGGTCTATTACATTAGAAAGGCAAAACATTTGAGAAGTTATACAAATTTGTAATACTAACTACTTTTCTTCATATACCCCAACATCTGTAATTAGTTTTAATAAATTTCTACTATATAAAAATCTCCAATTAAAGTTAAGAAAATGATAAAAAATCAAAATAATTTTGACTATATATAAGAAAATCGATTTTATCACTTAATTCTTTAAATATAGAATGAGAAAAGAATCAAAGTGATTTTTTGACTTTTTAAGAAAAAATAAAATAGTTTCCAACAATATTAAAAGATTATTTTTTATCTCTCACTATAAAATTATTTTGATTCTTTTTTAAAAAAATTAGGGATCAAAATAATCTATTAATATAATTGGAGATTATATTGATCGTTCATAAAAAAAAGAAATTATTATATGCGGAGGCTGGACACAGCTCTACGTTCGGAGGCGAATCAGGTGTAGCCATATTAGCAGTACTGAGTCATAGTACTGAATGGTACCGAGCAGCACCGGGCCGGGTATGCATTTTAGTTGGTCTCCGAACGGCGTTAGACGTCCGCAAAGAATAATTAATCTTCATAAAGAGCCAATGAACAATATTGATCATTTAATCAATATAGAGTATTTATATTCCTATTTAAAAAATTAAGAAATTAAATAATTGATAACATTTTAGTGTTTATAAAGAATAAAAGAATCATTTTTATTTTTATCTCTTAAGAAAAATTAAAAAAATTCTAACATTTTTTATTAGAAGTACTGCTAAATTTACAGAAACTGACGGGTCAAAAAGACCGGCCAAAAGACTGCTCAATCTGATTCCACCAATACTTTTTTTTTATTATTATTATTTTGGGAGAATTCCAACAGTAGTTTTTGCTGGCGAGTACATTTTTGGCTGAATTTATTGGCCAGCCAATTATAAACTAAAATAATATTTCTTCTGCGTTAAGTGCGAAAAAATAATTTTAATTATTTTAAAGACTACTGAAATGAAGGAATTTCAAGGTCTTTTAAGACTACAGTGGAAGCTCGGCTAATTTTGTACGGTCAGTCTATTTTCCTGTTAAAAAAAATAAAAAATAAAAAAAGTAAACAATTTCCCAAAAAAAAAAAAAAGTAAACGAAATACTTTTCAGAAATGAAAGACTGTTAGTATTGATACATCATCAAAATCTTCTTGATCATGCACTAATTTTGAAATATATTTAAATTAAAAAATTTCAAAATTAAATTTGGGATCATCTTAATTCAAAATTTAACAAATTTATATTCAAATTGAACGTATTGATAAGATGAGCTGAACGATGCAAAAATTGGTCCAATCGGAGTCCAAATGAGTTTGAATCAAGGCCTAAAAGCATATTAGTAAGTTTTAGAGCATGAATTAGATAACCAAGTGATCTCCAAATCAGACATGCTTATAGTCGAATCAAGCGGTTCAATGAGATGAATCCAACGAGCTCAATATCGCTTGATTAAGGCCCTTAAATGTATGGCGAACTCTTTATGATTGAGGGAATTAATATTGATCATCTGATAGAGCACTCTGAATTTGCTTTTGATCTTCTCCATATTTACGAAGCATGACACTACAAAAATTTTATAAATAGTGTCTCATTCTTCACATGATGAAGGAGGGACAGATAGATCTAGAAAAAACTCTCTTATCCATCATCGTTGATGACTACCATATGCTACTGTTGTCGGCAACTATCACCGTCGTTAAGGATCAGCATCAGGAATCTCTACCATCTCCATAGTATTGATAAGATTTAACACTGGCGTTGGGTATAAATGGTCATATGTGGACATTTACTTTCTATAATTTCTATTGAAAAAAATAAGCTTTATTGTTGAACATGTTCTCTCATCTTGATTTATGTACTCTCCCTCTTCTCAAACATTAGAGAAAGAGGATGTGTATTATATATTTTACATAGGCAATTAACGATTCGTTGATTAGGAGTGTATACTTAGTAATATAAGAAAAAGTAAAAGCTAAACATTATTAAACGTAAATCTATTGATGGAGTAGCTTAAATATTAGATAATTTATTAATTTGTCCAACTTGGAAGTTGGATCATCTTAACACCTCCCTAGATAGAGGAGGGCATGATCTAGATCATCTAATGTTGATGTGAATATAAAATATGTTGATAAGAAAATTTATATAATATTTATTAAAATTTATAAATAAAACTTATTTTTTTCAAATTTGAATAGCCATAAAATTAGCAAGAACCCCTGTATTGTAAATAATTTTAGAGATTTAATTATCATATCAAGTGCTAATTAGTCATTTTTAGTATTCTCGCTAGCAGGCTCTAGTTTTTAGCCCCCCCTCACAAGGAGAGGTAATGTTTACTTCCCTCTAGTCACCTTTAAAGCTATATGTCAATAATTTTTCTCCTCCTAGAAAAGGGATTATCATAAATGTCTTTAGTCATTCCTAAACACCAAATTCTTCGACCTACTGCCTTTATCCAAGGTGAGAGATCAAATTTCTATAGTGAAACATCTACCACATGAGCACATTCACATCCTCTTCAATAACATTGTAATGGAGCTTTACACATTTTAGATTTTTTTTAAGATTGTATTAAGTCCTTCTATAATTCTCAGTGAAAGTCAATCATCTACAATCAAAATATATAAGTAGAACATCTTTAGATTTTTTTTTTTATAGATTGTATTAAGACATTCCATAATACTCAATGAAAGTCAATCATCTACAATCGAAATATATAATTAGAACATCTATTTTAACTAGGTGTGACCATATAATTTTTCACTTTTTAACTTCAACATATAAACAAATTTACTTTATTTATTTATGTCAAACCACTTAAGTAAATAAAAGCTAAACTTTTGAACATCGAGCAACTTTTGGTGTGATGACTGAAATTTTTGTAAGAAACTCAACATTTAAGTGTGCTCATCTCAGAGCATGAGCGGACAACATCTTGAAAGTTAAGAGTTTGGGCTGTTACAAATTCTACTTCTATTTCTATGATAATACAGAGATAAATATTTGAAGGTAAAAAAAAAAAAAAAAAACCATCTCTAAAATATTCCATCAAAAGATGCATATTAGATGGCTTATGAATAACATATTCCATGATAGAAAAAGTCAAGAAATGCACTCAATTGATTCTTCAAATTGATGAGTTGGTCAGATGCCAATTTCAAATAAACAAAGCCCAAATATTTCCACATAACTCAAAAAAGGTTTCCAAGATAAGAATCATTCATTCACAATTGCTTACAACTTCTATTTATTAGCAGTATATTGGCTGTCAAGTGTCAACTTCCACCAACTTGCAATAAAAGATTGAGAAAAACAAATATGAAGAAATCAATGGCTCGATTGCATTTCATTATTGGACGAAGATAACATTGTAGACTAATAAAGGAATCCATGCCCTAAGTCAATAACCTTACCATTCATGATGGTTAGGCCTTGTCGGATTTGTTGGAATAAATGTGGAGGTGTGCCCCACCAATCACTAATTCAGCCCATTTAGTCAGGCCCGTTATTTTATTTTATGGAAATAAACCAGACTTGCCACTCTTCGCGTTAGTCTTTTGTGTGGAAACTTTTTTTTTTTTTTTTTATAAAAATTTTATATATCGTTATAATACGATGAAGCCTAAATTTCCCAACTTCGACCACACCGATTGATCTAATAAAGTAATAATTCAGCCTCAGTAAAAATAACTGATTTGCTTGATGAATTCATTAAGGGACTGTTTAATTTGATACATTTAAGGTGTAAAATAATCCCCCGCTAGCCACCGCCGCCCCGCCAGCCATCACCACCAGTCGCCGGCCACCGCCCCCACCGAACATCACCTCCGGCTGCCCCTCATCAACCACTCGGACCACAACTTTTTGAAATTGGTAGAGAACTAATAATAAATCATTCAATTTTTCATTTGCTTAGGAACCATATTTTCTAACACAATTCATCACATAGCTATATGATTTCCTATTAATTAATGGCTTTAAGTCTATTTAGGATACGTTTGAGACAACTTTCTTTCTAATTATTAAAATAACTTTTTAGTTAAAAATTTAAAATTTTTGTACTAAAAAATCGCTTTAAAAAGCAATAAGAAAACCGTTCCAAACAAAACCTTAAACTTTATTTGAGACCGATTTTTTACTATTTTTTTTTTATAAAAAAAAAATTACTATGAGAAGTAATTAAATAGGGGACAATAACCTTTAAGGCTTTTTCATCGCATATTTCAGCAAATGGGGAAAAAAACAAAAGAGATTTGAATTTGATCATGGCCAAAGAAATTGAGAGTTCCATAAACTACAATCAAGTGATACTAAGCGCATTTGACTTGAACGTAGTCGAGCCAGGAGCAATTAATTTGCGTAAACTTCTCCGGGTAAGGCAGTGACAGTTACGTAATTAATGACTTTAATTTAACTTTCAACGGCTACGTATTAAAGAATGGCTTCAATTCACTCACAAAGCATGACAATGCATGAAGGTCAACTAGACGGGTCCCACGGTGCCGAATATTTTGACTCGCTGACAAGCGGATTCCAAATCACCATTAAATCCGACTCATAAAGAAGGGCCGACAATCACTACAGTTGGTCAAATGAGCTCAATTCAATTTCTCCTTCCTTTTTCCAATCTTTTTCTTTTTTACAGGATCGACCCTCAAGAGAGAGGGAAAATGATAGTCGTAAATAGTGGAGGCCTAAATAGCAAATAAACGAAAGAAAAAAAAAGTATGAAAGAGAAAAGAAGTGCAGGCTACACTCGGAAGAAGAGGTGGAAAAGGAAAAGAAAAACGGGCGGCTCAGATCTCGCGGTGCGTGTCGAAGACGAGGGCATCGGACGGCTGAGAGTGGCGGTGCTCGCCCTCGTAGGTGACGATTAGCATCGAGGGATCGTCCGGCGCGCGCTCCACGTGCTTCCTCGCCGGGCAACCGCGCAGGCTGCTGCACTTGTAGTATCCTCTGCGACCAAGAAGATGAAGGAATTAGGGTTTCTGGATTTGGCGGCAATAGTCCACGTTGGATCAAGATCGGGTGTTTAAAAATTAAAATTACCTTGGATATGGAGAGCCCTTGATCGGTTTCTGACCATACTTTCGCCATGAGTACTCGTCGGGTGGGATATCCGCCATCTTTGAGCTAATCGCCGGAACGCGGATCGTCCTCTTCACGCGATTCTTTCTGTAAAGGAAAAGAGGCACAAGTTAGAGGGGAAACGTTTAATAAACCATGGAAAGCTAACAGTTATTCCCTTGGGAATATAGCTGCTTACCGGCGCTTGGAACAGTGGCAGCGACCGCCGTTAGCAGCGAACTTTCCGGCAAAGTCTTCCGAGTGAGCGTGGCTATGGCAGCGCTTCTTGTAGGCAGCGAGCGGCGGTTTGCCGGCAACGACACCGCCAGCAGAGATGGCCGGCGCTGGCGGAAGGAGAAGAGAGGTTGTCCCGCCCGGGCGGCCATTAGAGACACTTCCATCGCCTGTGATCGATGACATAAAGGAAGAGTTCGCCGAAGAAATCGGCGTCGAGATGCTGAAGGTCTCTTTAATGTACTTCCCTGATGATGCGGCGACGATGGCAAGATCAGTGGATCCACCGCCAACGGAGCTCGGCTTGGTGAAATCCAGCGTCAGGCTCTGTAAGGGGACAACGGGTACCGCCATAGCCGGCGCAGAAGGCAGAACCGCTACCTGCGGTGTAGGTTTTACAGCGGCCGGAAGAATTGGACTGGAAGGGCCGCGGCGGAATCGAGCGTGTCCGGTGCGATTTAGGATGGAGATCATCTTCTTGAACTTTGAGACGGTATGATCGGCGATTTCCCGGCAATCGATGGTGGCTGCCGTTGCAGACGATGAGGTGGATTTCTGATGGTGACGATTGAGCTGGAAGATTAGGTTTTCCATGCTCCGGATCCCGGCCGCCGCGGCCTCCTGAATCGTGATCTGATCGTCCATCTTCGCGTAGCCGATTAGATCAACGGCCATGTCACACTCTCTCGCTCCTCGCTTCCGAAACACTAGCTGTCCCCTGCACCATAAACTATTTGAGTTCTTGGAAGAAGATGAAGAAGAGATTGGGCCAACATTTATAAAGTAGAAAGGAAAAACGATAAAATAATTAAATATCAAAATTACAAATTAAGGGAAAAAAAAAGTAAAAGAGAAAGAAGGGAGTTTTCAGTCAAAGGCTCAAAGGCGGGATATATTTGATGGACGGTAGTGATTGATTTATTTTCCTCGTGATGCGATTCTGCTAGTGAGCTACGTCCATCGAGTTGGTGGTGCGAAGCTTCAGTTATAAGTTGGACTTTTCCTCCATTTTAATATTATTTTAATAAATTAATTATTGTACAGTCCGTTTTACTGATTAACTGCAGAGCAATCTCAGCCGTTCGTTTCGTGCTCCGCTTTTCCCTTGCCAGCGGCAGCGTTTTCTTGCCGTTTGGTCAACCTTAGAAATTTGCTATATAAAAAAATAAGTATTATTTCGGTCCGAATATTTTATTCTCACTTAATTTAATATACAAATAATAATAGGGATTTTTACATACATAACACCTCAAAGTTCTCTATTTACTTATCTCACATCTAAACTTTAAATTTTACTGTTATACCACGGTAATGAACTAGTCCTCATCAAATTTAACACTCCGTCTGCTCCCGTCAAAACCAACTCGCGAGAACAGCTTTTGCGCGCGGAAACATCTAGGAGTAGCTCTAGGGCGTTGCGTCTTCTCCGAATACAATCTTCATTTTGAGATACAGAGTAGCTCCCCTTCCCTCCTTCCCATCAGATCGATGTCGGTGCCAACATCCCGCAGGTGCAAAAGTCCCACCGGTGCAAACGTCCCGCAAGTGCAAAAGTCCCGCCGGTGCAAACATCCGAAAACTTCTCCAAAATTATTTTCACCAGTTCATTTTCTCCGGCCGGTGCAAACGCCCCGCCAGATCATTTTGGATGTCGGTTTTATTCAAGTATTTTCTTTATTCATTTTGGCTACCGGTGCTTCATTTTCTCAGCCGATTTTTATTAATTCTCCATTTCTGCTTCTTCTGTTTAGGGTATTCTCTGTTCTTGTTCATGCTAATTACTTGAGTTTTATTTTTTCATTAATAACTGAATAAACGATTCTTTGTGGGAGAAGATGAAATGGAGGCATGGGCTTAGCTAGTTAACGCTTTAGTCTTCTCATTCTTTCTCCAGCCTCGCTATGTACTTGTCATAGAACTTCCCGGCTTTCTCAAGGTCTCCAAGCTCAGTGTAGCAGTCTTTTATTGCTCCATTTTACATGGAAAGCTCTTTAAATTTGGCCACAGTAAATATTCCTGTAGGTTGTGTATTCCATGATTGAATAAGTTCCATTGTTGATGCCTGATCCATAAAATTATCATATAAGTAGAGTAATGAATAGGAAAGCTAAAACAAAAATTATCATATGCCTTCTCAAGCTCATGATTCCGCAAATAATTTTTCCCTGTTTTCAATTTTGTAGAAGAACAACAGATCTGGCATAAATGGGGTTAACAAATCAGATGGAAGAAGAACAGTTAACCTAGCTACAGAACATGTAGTAAAAAAGAAAAAAAAAAGATAGAGAACATGTAGAATAACATCGGGGAGGGAAGGCAACCAAATCCAATGGGGTTAACGAACACAATAACAAGATAATGAAAAAGGAGGAGCATACCCGCACGAACAAATCGATGCGGGAAGAAGAGCTGCCCGAGCGGGAAGAGGGGATAAGGAAGCAAACGTCCCCGAAATACATAAATCGGGGTTTGGTTTTGACGGAGGGAACGGAGTGCTATATTTGATGAGAGAAAGAGTTTTTAGGTGGTAGGATAGTAAATATTAAAGTTTAGGTGTTAGATAAGTAAATAAAGAACTTTTAAGTGTTAGGTATGTAAAAACCCCTAATAACCCCGCTATTTTTTTATAACAGAATGATTAGCTGGCTTGCATTTCGGGACTTGCTTTTAGCTGAGTTTGAGATATTTTTTTTACTCCTTTAAGATTTTTCTTTTTACAGTTTAGAATCTATTTTACAGTTCATTTTGGGACGGTTTTATTTGCTTCTTCGTAAAGCCACTTTTTAGTACAACAAATAATTTTTTGTACTAAAAAACAGCTTTAAGAGAGCAACAAGAAAGTCATCACAACGAGAAAAAATAATTAGAGTCGGACATCTGACGATAGCTCTACATTCGTGACGCCAATAAGTATGTACACAGTTCTGTTAAGTAACTCTTCTTTACCGTGTCGGGCCCGGTATGACCCGGACCACGAGATTGCTACGTGTGTGGCCTGTATTTGTGTCAACTTGCTAGGTATTGTGTCGGGTATATTTGTCGTAGCAAATTAATCGTAAAATCACTCGTTAAGATCCATATAACTTATTAAGCCAATACCGCGGTCTTCTGAAAGGTATTCGGACAACTCAGTATTGACTTCGGAGTATTGGCTTGAATACGGTGATAATTTCTATTCTTGTCAGAGTAATACTGTTGAGCATACCTAGCAATTCCAAACATAGGCAATATTCGAGGTTCTAACAGTCTAGCGAATCACAGTCAAAAAAACCGTTCGTCTGGAGGGACCGCCCGCGGCCGCAGATACACACTTGTTAAAAAGTAGAGCAAGCTCGCCGATTCCGTACAATATTTTTTTACGTCCGGACGTTTCATCATGTAAGAAGCTACAGTCAAGTTTCTTCGACTGGACCTTTTAATAATTAGTTCACATATGAAGCATTCTTAATTTTTACACTTACAAGCTACTTTAAGTAATAATAAAAGGTTTCTCGAAACGGAATCTCAGAAGACGTTATCGAAATAAAGCCCTAATAAAATAATAATCTCATATGCATTTTTATATTTTAAAAAAATTGATAATTCAATAGTATATTTTATTAATAAAAAAACCCTCTGTTGTTCCAAAGGCAATGCATTTAATTGAAAAAATAATGAAACACCGGAGTTGGCCCCAATAATAACCAAGGCATGAGGCAATAACTTTGAACTCAAAAGTCGTTCTTAATTCCAATACGCTATAGTGGAATTGATTGTGTAATTTAGCGAATTTGGCCCCACGTTACAGCGATGCCTGGCTTGAGTTTAGACGGTTGAGATCTCTCGCATAGCGTATATTGTAGAAGAAGGATTATGTTTCTGATACCTCAGAGTTCCCAGTATACTGACAAAAATCACCGAATGACAGGCGATCCCGGAATAGCCATAGAATGTTGAAAATATTAGGTCTAATACTGAGAAAAAGTGCTTATTACCTTAAAATCATATCTTTAATTGAATTATTATGCGTACATTGAGAAACTAAATTTTCTGCCAATATTAAATAAAAAATGAAAA